ACAGAACACTGGTGACCTCTTGGCTGCCAAACTCAGAGAAATACTTTTGCCCTCTACCTTGCCTGACCTTTCAACTGTACTTGTTACTTTTGGTCACACCTTCCGTGAAATTCTCTTCCTTGATGTATCTGATGCCAACTCTTTCTGGCTTCTGTTCCTACATCTCTGCCTCTCTTTCTCCTTTTACTTTCTACTCAGCCCTTAAACATTTGCATGTTTAGTGTTCTGTCTCAGGTCTTGGCATTTATTTCCATGTCTACAATTACCCCCCAAGATTTTCTCCTGAGCTCCAGGTCCACAGCATCCAACGAATGCTTTCTTTTCACCTTGACTTCTCAAAGCCATAATAAATTGGGTCTGTCCCAAACTGAAGCGGTCATCTTCTCCCCTAGACATACCCCTGCTCTTGGATTCTCTAATTCTGAGCCTGGCATTCCTCCACCTCCCTACCCAAGCTGGGACTTAAATATTAATTTAACTTTTCCGGACCCTTCTCACTAATACTGGCTGTCATGCCCTGTTGCTTCTGTGCCATAATATCCCTGAAATCTATTTCCTCTGCTCATCCCCACAAGCCATTGCCTCAGCTGAGGTTCACATCATTTCTTTCCAGAATTACTACAAATGTGCTGTCTCCAGTGTACTGATTATACTTCCACCAAAATTACTTTTTGAGAAGTTTCACTACACAGCTTAAATAAACTCCTTTTTGTGACTCCTTTGTAATTGCTACATTCTTTGTCTGGACTGGCTCTTCCTGACTATTTGCCTGCACTTGCCCTTCTAAATTCATCATTTGGAAATCCTTCTCCAATAGTTTCTGTCTGGGCATCCATCCATCCATCCATCCATCCACCTACCCACCCACCCATTCACCCATCCATCCATCCATCCATCCAACCATCCATCCACTCATCCATCTACCCATCAACCCACCATCTATCAATATTTACTGAGGATCTATTACATTCTAAGAACTGAGCCTCAGAACCAGGCAGAAAAGATTTGTTTCCACGGATATGGAAACTGTATTGCAAAGTTGTGTTTACTTTTGTCTTTGGTCAGGTGTGGTGGGTCACACCTATAATCCCAGCACTTTGGGAAGCCAGATGGGAGGACTGTTCAAGGCCAGGAGTTTGAGACCAGCCTGAGCAACACAGCGAGACTCCCATCTCTACAAAAATTTAAAAATTAAATTGGAAGCTACTTGGAAGGCTGAGGCAAGAGGATTGCATGACCCCCGGTGGCTAGGTTGCTGTGATCTGTGATCACACNAAAAAAAAAAAAAAAAGTAACTTGGAAGGAGAGGAAAGGGAAGAGTATCAAAGAAAAACTTACTGACTTGATAGATAAAAACAGTGGTGATACTGCCATTCATTTTAGGTTATTTTAGAAAGAAAATTGCTCATCACCCATTTTGTGAGATAACTCCCACATGCTTAGTGTTCCAATAATGGAACACTAGGCATAAATGCGTTTAATATTACAGGATTTTCTATATGTGTGTGTGTGTTTTTTTTGAGAGAGAGTCTCACTCTGTCGCCAGGCAGGAGTGCAGTGGTGTGATTTTGGCTCACTGCAACCTCTGCCTCCCAGGTTCAAGCAATTCTCCTGCCTCAGCCTCCTGAGTAGATGGGACTATAGGCGCGTGCCACCATGCCCAGCTAATTTTTTGTATTTTAGTGGAGACGGGGTTTCACTATATTGGAGTGCAGTGGTGGGGTCTTGGTTCACTGCAGCCTCTGCCTCAGCCTCCCAAGTAGCTGGGAGTACAGGTGTGTGCCACTACACCCGGCAATTTTTTTTTTTTAGTAGAGACAAGGTTTCACTATGTTGGCCATAGGGTGGTCTCGATTTCCTGACCTCATGATCTGCCCATCTTGGCCTCCCAAAATTCTGGGATTACAGGCATGAGCCATTGTGCCCAGCTTCGTTTATTTTTTTTCCCCACATAATTATATTAAGAGAAAGGCTGGGCACAGTGGCTCATGCTCGTAATCCTAGTAGTTTGGGAGGCTGAGCCAGGCAGATCACTTGAGCCTAGGAGTTCAGGACCAGCCTGGGCAAGCTGGCAAAACCTCCTCTCTACAAAAAATACAAAAGTTAGCCAGGCATAGTGGTATGCAACTGTAGTCTCAGCTGTTCGGGAGGCTAAGGTCAGAGAATCACCTGAACCTGGGGAGGTTGAGCCTACAGTGAGCCGAGATCATGCCACTGCACTCCAGTCTGGATAACAAAGCAAGACCTTGTCTTCAAAAAAGCAAACAAACTTTTGCCTTCCCCTCTTAAAGTGATGAGCTTTGAAGGCAGGAGCTCTGTTGGGTTCATCTCTTACTATTCAGTACTTTGGACACACAATCCCACAATGAATAAAGGAAGTTTTATTTACCAACTGCCTGGCCAGCTGACTGAGCCTACCAGCTTCACACACCTATCAATCAATCAATACATAAATAAAATAAGAAAGGAAGGAAGTCTAGTTTGGTTGGACTTTTTCTTAGTGACCCTCTGCTGACCTCTTCATAATCCTGTCTTTTTATTGTTGTTTTAAATGCTCATAAATCAGACCTAGAGCTGACTGACCCTGCTCTGTGGCTTCCATTTTCTACAACTCAAATTAGGTGTAGCAGAAAACTCACCCATGTCTTTGTTTACCCACCACTGGTAAAGAGAACACTTGCTTAACAATGTGGTGGCTATTTCCAAGCTCAGAGGAAGAAAACAAGAGAGCAGAATTCCTTAGCTCTTGTTACTTTTGCAAGCCCTAGTATCTCATACCAGTTTGCAGACACTGTGAGAGGCAGAAAAGAAGGAAGAGGGCAAAAGGATAGGGGAAGGATATGCTACAAATCTTGGGTCCTTCTTCGGGGTTATAGATGAAACTGTGTGGGAAATGTCTGGTCAAAATGTTCACTGTTGTGCTCTGAGGTTTTGCCAATTGCCAGTGAACAAAAGAATGAGTTGCCCAACTACTTAAGTGGCTGTCTCTTTAAAAAGAGTGTTAAGAGTGGAAAAGAGATACACTCTGCCTGGTATACTCCTTGGTATGGTTGGTGTGGACACTCTCTTTAAATAAGCGCTTTAAAAAAAATAGAGGCAGGGTCTTACTATGTTGCCCAGACTGGGTCTTGAACTCCTGTTCTCAAGCGATCCCCCCTACGTAGCTGGGACTATAGGTGTGTGCCAGCATGCCTGGCTAATTTTATATTTTGTATAGAGATGGGGGTTCTTGCTATGTTGCCCAGGCTGGTCTTGAACTCCTGAGCTCAAATGATCCTCCCACCTCAGCTTCCTGAGTGGCTGGGACTACAGGTGCATATAGTGCACCTAACTAGCTCCTTTAAATAAGTTTTTTATTTTTTATTTTTATTTTTATTTTTTTTGAGGCAGGGTCTTACTCTGTCACCAAAACTGGAGTGCAGTGGTACAGTCATGGCTCACTGAATCTCCCTGGGGTCAGACGATCCTCCTATCTCAGCCTCCTGAGTAGCTGGGACTACAGACATGTGCCACCATGCCTGGTGAATTTTTGTATTTTGTTCTTGGTAAAGATGGGATTTTGCCATTTTGCCCAGGCTGGTCTCAAACTTCTGGGCTCAAGTGATCCACCCACCTTGGCCTCCCAAAGTGTTGGGATTACAGTGGATTACAGCTATGAGCCACCTTGCCCGGCCTAAATGAGTTCTTAACAGTCATTCTATGAAAGAGAGAAAGAGAGAGGCAGATAGATCCTGAAATAAAAAGACCCCAGGGGCTGGGCGCGGTGGCTCACGCCTATAATCCCAGCACTTTGGGAGGCCGAGGTGGGTGGATCACGAGGTCAAGAGATCGAGACCATCCTGGTCAACATGGTGAAACCCCGTCTCTACTAAAAATACAAAAATTAGCTGGGCATGGTGGCGCATGCCTGTAGTCCCAGCTACTCAGGAGGCTGAGGCAGGAGAATTGCTTTAACCCAGGAGGCGGAGGTTGCAGTGAGCTAAGATCGCGCCACTGCACTCTGGCCTGGGTAACAAGAGTGAAATTGTCTCAAAAAAAAGACCCCAGGCCTGCAAACAAGAAAACTGCATAAGCAGTAGAAGGATCAGGGCCATCAGAGCCCACTCTTCACCTTACCATTCAGCTCCCATTGGGCAAGGCTGACTCAGGCAGGGGTTGGTCTGCAGCTTACTTGCATTTTAGTTGATAGGTATGCATGTTCTCAGTGCCCAGTGAGGTCCACAAAGGTCAAATTTGGAGGGAGAAGGGGTTCTTGGTAAATGAGGTAAAATTGACGGAAGTGTGATAGTCTAACTAGACCTTGGATAGTCCAGTGACTTTCCGTTAGGCTTTAATGCAGTTATTGGCATGCTTCATAGGCCTCTAAGCAGCCCAGAAGGACAGATGATAATCTTATCTATTTATATTACTGACAAATATATATAGTTAGTGTGCTAATGCCTTGCTTCCAGCATAGGTTCCATAAAAGCTGGTGTCTTGCTTTTTAAATTCTTTCCCCAAATGGCATCCTGTCCTATTAATCCATACAAAAGACACAAATACAACCTTTTTTTTTTTTGAGACAGAGTCTTGCTGAGGCTGGAGTGCAGTGGTGTGGTCTCGGCTCACTGCAACCTCCTCCTCCTGGGTTCAAGCTATTGTCCTGTCTTAGCCTCCTGGGTAACTGGGATTACAGGTACATACTACCACGCCCGGCTAGTTTTTTGTATTTTTAGTACAGACAGCTTTCACCAAGATGACTAGGCTGGTCTCGAACTCCTGACCTCACCTTGGTCTCCCAAAGTGCTAGGATTACAGGTGTGAGCCACCGCAGCCAGCCAGAAGATACAAACACAACCTTTAATGTAACTCTTGAAATGAATGGAGTAACCACGGGAAAATGTGGGACCATGTTCCCTTTTGAAACAAACACCCTTTTCCATAAGCTGCACCTCATTGGTTATCCTTGAAAAAAAACTTTCTGTTTTCCTTTCCAAGCCTACGGAAATCTATTCTCTTACCAGGTGCATTCCTATAGAGGTGACCATTGCTGTCTCGATCTCTGTTCCGACATCTTCAACAAAGGGATACTCATCCTGCCGATGGATAATCACTTTAGCTCCCGTGGAGGACACAAGGAACGGGTTGTATTCCTCTTCATTTATGTACAAAATGACTTGCAGCCCTGGGAGGATAAGGCAGCCTGCTGTGATCAAAGGCTAGGAAAACATTTCCTGGGGGTAGCCCACCTCTCCCACATTTCCTGGGGTAGCCCACCTCTCCCACTGCTTCAGGAGCTTCAAATCCAAGACCAAGTATTTCCAACAAGTGACAGGTGGACAAGGGCTAGACTGGAAGCTCCATGAGATTGAAATTCATGCCTGACTTGCTCTCTGCTGTGCCCCACAGCTTAGCTCAAAACAGGGGTTCAAACACAGAATCACCGCCACAGTTCTTACTAAGCATATGTTTTTTCCAAGTATAAGGAAATTGCCACTCTGCCCGAGACATGCCATCTCCTTACAATCCTTTGAGATGGGGAGTTTGGAGCATGGACACAGGGAGGGGACCATCACACACTGGGGTCTGTTGTTGGTGGGGGGTTGGGGGAGGGAGCAAGGGGTGGGGAGATTGGGGAAGGATAACATTAAGAAAAATACCTAATGTAGGTGACGGAGGGTTGGAGGCAGCAAACCACCATGGCATGTGTATACCTACGTAACAATCCTGCAAGATTCTGCACATATACCCCAGAACTTAAAGTATAAAAAAAAAAAAGAAAAAAATACCATGCATTGCTGTGGCTGCTTAATCCCTCAAGGTGGTCACCCAAGAAGAGATGAATCACTAATGGTGTTTCTGATCACTGGCCCAACTTCTCCTCCTACTCCTGCTCTTGCCCCTTTCAGTCTTTGCTGACCCAGCACCAGAGTAAACACAGCATCAGTGCACATACTTCACTGGGAAGAAGTAACCTGGGAACTGAGAGTGAAAAATTGCAGAGTCCTGGCTCTGTTATGTTTGGGCTGTGACCTCCAGCAATGGACTTCCCCTCTCTGGGCTTATTTACAAATTGTTTGCAATTGTTTACAAATTGCCCTTGTTTACAAATCGAATGTCAGTGTAACTCTCAAAATTCTCTTCTTTCCATCCACATAGATCCTGCTCATTCAATTGGACCTCAGGCCAGGTCACTCCCTGAAACCTGAAACTATTCAGGGGCATCTCACTGGATATATGGAAATGCCATAGAATAAACCTGGCTGCATCATCAAGGTGATGATAATACAACCCTTGTCTACTTCTCCCTCCTCATCTCCTCCCACTCTCTCCCCACTTCAATAAGCGCCAAGCACACTGGTTTTATTTCTGTTTCTACAACACATCCGATTCATGTCCTTCCCAGGACCTTTGCCCTTGCTGGTGGCTGGGATGTTCTTGTGTAGATCTTAATATGAATCTTTTCCTCCTTAAATAGTCTTCCTCTTAGAGATCTTTCTGGGCCTTCTTATCCAAACTCACAGTCCCCCACCTTCCTGATCCCAGCCACTCTGTCTTGCCACTCTGCCTCTTTCTTTTCTGCATAGTGGTCATTAGGATTTGTAACTAGATCGTGTCTGTGTAGTTGTGTAGTCATTTGTTATCTGTCTCTCCCCACAAAAATGTAAGTTTCCTAACAGCAGAGAAAACTTCTGTCTTTTCACTGCTGTGTCCCTGGGACCTAGAAGAGGGCCTGGCAAATGGGAGATACTCCATGGGTGGTAACTGGATGAGTGAATTAGCAGGCTCTATACAGATGGAAAGAAGAGAATTTTGAGTTATTCTGACATTCAGTTTGTAAACAAGGGCAATTTGTAAACACTTGCAAACAATTTGTAAACAATTACAAATAATAGGCCAGGAATGGTGGCTCAGGCCTGTAATCCCAGTACTTTGGGAGGCTGAGGCGGGTAGACCACGATGTCAGGAGTTCAAGACCAACCTGACCAACGTGGTGAAACCCTGTCTCTACTAAAAATACAAAAATTAGCCGGGCATGGTGGTGCGTGCCTGTAATCCCAGCTACTCAGGAGGCTGAGGCAGGAGAATCACTTGAACCCAGGAGGCAGAGGTTGCAGTGAGCTGAGATTGTGCCATTATACTTCAACCGCGTGGACAGAGCGAGACTCTGACTCAAAAAAAAAAAAAATTACAAACGATTTGTAAACAATTGCAAAAACAATTTGTAAACAATTTATAAAGAATTACAAACAATTTGTAAACCATTGCAAATAATTTGTAAACAATTTGTAAAGAATTACAAACAATTTGAAAAGAAGCCCCCAGAGGGGAAGTGAATTGCTTGAGGTCACACAGCTCCTCCATACAGAGCCAGGACTCTGCAACTTTTCACTTTCAGTTTCCGGATTACTTTTTCCCCATGAAGTATATGCACTGAATTATGATTTCTTGCAGACTTAGTAAGAGCACAGACTACACGGTGACAAAGGCCAGGATTCCAAGTGTGGATTTCCTTTACAACAGGGCCTTGCTTGTCCTGGTGGGAGTATATCTACATATCACATCATCAATGTGCATGGGACCTTTCAAGAATTCCTTTTGGGCATAAACCAGGCCAATCTGTTCAGTTCCTACCTTCCCTACAAAAGTAATCAAAATGGAACAGTAGTGCTGGAAGTTGCAATGGTATTATTTTGAGGGTAGTGACTTATTACCCCTGAAATAATACCATTGCGACTTCAGCAGCAATAGTGGTAGACTGGTAACAGTGCTCGTAAGGGTAACAGTAATAATAATAGCAACTAACATTTACTGCGTACTTGGTATGTGTTATGGCTGAATTGTTTTCTGCCTCAAATTCATATGTTGAAGCCCCAAGCCCCAAAGGGATATTATTTGGTGATAGGGCCTTAATTAAGGCGAAAGGAAGCCATAAGCGGGGGCTCTAATCTGATAGGACTGATGCCCTGATGAGAAGAAGAGACATCACAGGCCTCTCCAGGTTGACACACCACAGAGGAAAGGCCATGTGAGGACATGGAGAGAGGGCATCCAGACTTCTGCAGCCCAAAGAGAGAAGCCTCACCAGAACCGAGTGTGCCTGTACCTTGACCTTGGACTTCCTAGTCTCCAAAACTGTGATAAATAAATGTCTATTGCCGAAGGCACCCAGTCGCTGGTATTTTGTTATGGCAGTCCAAGCAGACTAACAGAGTGAAGACCTGGTCTTATTCTAAGTCTGTATTTTAAGTCCTCTCAGTAATCTCACATGGGAGATATTATTATTAGTCCCACTTTATAGATGAAGTGCAGTAACTTGACCAAGGTCACACAGTGAGTTGCCAAGCTGGGTTTGGGCTCCAACCAGAATCTGTCATCTGAACTAAGATAAAGGTGCGTCTACCCCCCTAATCTGTTCAGCATATCTGGGCTTAACTCCATTTGGAAACCACATGCCCTGCATGACTCACCCCAGCTATGAGTTTAAACTGGAGTAGTTCCCTAGAAGAAGGAACCCCAGTGATGTCCCTGTAGCTCTCTCAAAGGTGGAGGAGAAGTCAAAAAAGAAAACAGACACCGATTTGGAAGGAAGGAGCCAGCATGAACACCGATGGAAACACTGACAGAAAAAAAGGCGTCCCTGGTTTCTGGCTAAGGGGGAGAGATTCTGAGTTTCTGGAAGGCTCCTGCATCCCCACTGTCCTGCTGCCCCCAAGTCCACTGTTGGAGGACCTCAAGATCTCCTTGTTGCACATTTTCTTACCATATTCGCTGCCCCCCATGGAGGTACTGAGAATGGTCTCATTTTCTTTGTTGTTGAAAGTGTAGCAATTCCCATGCATTGGGTGGTGGAAAAGGGTGAAATTCCTACGGAGGAAGAAAATGGGTCAGAAAAGGATCTCCCCCACGCATCTTAGCTGAAGTTGGGCAGGACAGTGCTAATGAAGCCAACTATTTTTAGGAAGATTGGGTAAAAGATGTGGCTCATTATACCCATCTTGCTCCTGACCAAATGACAAACAAGGCCCCTCATCCTGGCTGACACACATGGACATAGAACTAGCTCTCCGCCTTCTGTGTTCTCTCTGAATCCTCTCACCTTTATCTCTATCCTATCTTGGCATTCCTTGTGCCACATCTGCCCCCAAATTCCTCCACTTTTGAATTTTTCAGCCAACACTTGGCATTTTTCCATTCAAATTCCCAGTCCTAGAAAATGATCCCCAGGGAAAGAATCACATCGTCTATGCCCTTATGCGACTTTGGAACCCAACTCTTAGGGAGACATGATTCCAATTATTCACTTTTCACAATAACCCATCTGTCCCCTAACATATAGACAGGCGAAAGAGGCTGAGTATTTTATTTTTATTTTTGAGACAGGGTCTCGCTCTGTTGCCCAGGCTGAAGTGCAGTGGTGCAATTATGGCTCACTGAAGCCTCAACTTCCCAGACACAAGTGATCCTCCCACCTCAGCCTCCTGAGTAGCTGGGACTACAAGTGTGTGCCATCATGCCCAGCTAATTTTTTTTTATTTTTATTTTTTATTTTTTTTGTAGAAACGAGGTTTTGCAACGTTGCCCAGGCTGGTCTTTAACTCCTGAGCTCAAGCAATCATCCTCCTCAGCCTCCCAAAGTCCTGGGATTATAGGCGTGAGCCACTGTGCCTGGGCCAGGAACACTTCAGAATGTCTCACCCACTGCCCAGTCACCACCAGGGATCTGAGTGTTATCCTAAAGGTGAAAGGTTTGAAATCTCACGTATTTGAACATAGGCCTTTCTTCCCCTATTCCTCCCTCCTTCTCTTCCTTCCTTCCTTAGAACAATGGCTCTTAATCATCAGTATGCATGATGGTAAATACAAGGTTATATGCACAGTGTATGGCAAAACAGGTACTTTTGTGCCAACCTTGTGGGTTGGGGATTTCCTTTCTTTCTTTCTTTCTCTCTCTCTCTCTCTCTTTCTTTCTTTTGAGTCTTACTCAGCTACTGCAAGCTCCACCTCCTGGGTTCAAGCAATTCTCCTGCCTCAGCCTCCCAACTAGCTGGGACTACAGGTGTGCACCACACACCTGGTTAATTTTTGTATTTTTAGTAGAGTCGGGGCCTCACCATCTTGGCCAGGCTGGTCTTGAACTCCTGACCTCAAGTGATCCACCTGCCTCAGCCTCCCAAAGTGCTGGGATTTGGAGGTGTGAGCCAAAGCGCCCAGCCATCTACCTTGTTTTTAATGAGCAGTTTAATGAGTTTAAGGAAATTTTGATTGTATGTCATGTATACCTCACTCACTGACTCTAGAACACAGCTCCCATGTAAGCAGTTTCCAAAAGGCAGCATTAGGGAGAAGGGCACCTTTTACTCCCAAGACCTATCATCAAGGCTGTAGGTGCCTGAAAGGGGCCTGGTACTTAGAGCTGCCAGTCCTCAGAGGCTGAGAGAGCAGCTTTCTCTCCTGACCTGGCATCGCAGGATACTCCGTCAAAGAAGCAAGTCACCAGCAGCTCCTCGGCAGAATAGCTCATGTTAATTTTCTTCTCCAGAGGCACCTGTGCCATGATGTTCATGTAGTGCAGCTTATACCATTCCTGAATGGCATTGATCCCCGAGCTGAAGGTGTAGGTGGCACAGTCAGAGGTGTCGTTTGAGCACTGTAAATAAGAGGAGACGTGAGGCTGAAGCCATCGGTCCTATCGCTATTCTTCAGAAGGACCATAAGACTGAGTGACTGAGACTCCAGGTCAGATACTCAGGGGAACAGGCAGGATATCTGGGGCAAGGATGGATTTCCTCTCACTTCTAGGGGCTGGGAATGATCATCTTCAAGCCTCAAGGACCAAAAAGGGGCTAATGAGAAAAGACAGCGTCCTACTCCTGCAACTCTGTACTACTTGCCCACCAAGCAAGAAGTAAAGCCAGCTTCTTCAGGGTCCCCAGGGTTCATCTGATTGATGCTACTATGTTCCTAACAATCTTTCCCATCTCTTATCATATCAACACTCGAGACAGCTGGATTCCAGCCCAGACTCTGACACTAGTTCTCTGCAGGATCTTAGGCAAGGTGTTCTGTATCCATTATCTCACCCACAAAATGCTGACTGAAATACCATCCTTCCCAACCACGTGTGGTAGCTGGGAGGACTGTTTGAAATATACAATAATGAGAGCTTTATAGGGAAGCCATTGTACATTCCAAATGTTCTCATCACACAAAGCCTGGAAGCTTTTCTAAATGGACCGATGTCAACTGATTTTGGCTGGTCGCAGTGGCTCACGCCTATAAACCTAACAATTTGGAAGATTGTCCTGGGAAGACTGAGGCCAGGAGGTCGAGACCAGCCTGGGCAACATGGCTAACCTCCACCTCTACAAAAAATAGAAAAATTATCTGGGTGTGGTGGTGCATCCCTGTAGTCCAAGCTACTTGGGAGGCTGAGGTGGGAGAATCGCTTGAGCCCAGGAGTTCTAAGCTGCAGTGAGCTGTGATTGCACCACTCCTGCCTGGGTGACAAAGTGAGATCTTGTCTCTAAAACAAACAAACATATATATAAAGAGTTGATTTTGGTATCAAGAAGAACCTTGCAGATATCCTGTGAAAGGACCCAAGAAGACTTTGAAGTCTCAATGATTTAGAGGAAGGGCCATTTTTCAGGATTTGGGACTATAGCTACAAGGTCACACAATCAGCAATCAAGCCTATAAGGTATGGACATAGCTCCTGTCCTCCAGAGGTGGCTGGGCATGGAGAGGTAGGGTGGTGAAGGAGTTTGCCTAGGAAAATCCTAGAATTCATTTTCAGTGAATGGCAGTTCTCAAGGGCCCCTCAGGCCAGGCGTGGTGGCTCACGCCTGTAATCTCAACACTTTGGGAGGCTGAGGCGGGCAGATCACTTGAGGTCAGGAGTTTGAGACCAGCCTCACCAACATGGTGAAAACCAGTCTCTACTAAAAATACAAAAAATTAGCCAAGCATGGTGGTGCATGCCTGTAATCCCAGCTACTCGGGGGGCTGAGGCAGGAGAATCACTTGAACCCAGGAGGTAGAGGTTGCAGTGGCAGTGAGCCGAGATTGCACCACTACACTCCAACCTGGGCAACAGAGCAAGGCTCTGTCAAAAAAAAAAAAAAAAAAAGGAAAAGAAAAAAGTCCCTCAGATGGGACCAAAAGGGAAAATGAGGTCAGGCCAAGTGCCTCATGAAGGCAAGTACTGCAGGAAACACTGATGTTTTTGCTGTTTATTGTCTGTCTTTTTCCTTCTGGTGCCAGCATCTCAATTTTGCTTTGGAGGAATTTCCTTTCCCCCTCTGGATACAGTCTGGTGAGATTGGCTATGAAGATACTCCACCATCCCTTAGCCAAGGGGTGATTAGGTGACCCAAGCTTGACCAGTCAGATGGTCCCAAGATGGAATTTGACTGTTAAACATTAACAACAAAACAGAAGATATTTGATGCTTCTTTACTCTAGCAGCAATATCTGAAATGAATTTTCATCATTTCTTGCTACCTATATCCTTATATCTGCCCTAATTTCTGCCCTCTGAGAGGCCTCCATGAGTTACTGGTTGCCTTCTAATACATTTCGCCCTCTCTCTACATCCCCCCCTACTTAAAATCACCTGAGTCAGTTTTAGTTGTTTGCAGCTGTATCACCCCAGGTGAGTGTATTCTTTCCTTCCTTCCTTCCTTCCTTCCTTCCTTCCT